ATTCTACCGAGAAAAAGACGTTGTCACGTAAAATCTTCGTCCGTAAAACCGACTTTACAGGCAACCATTTTTTTTTTTATACTTAGCCTAAGTAATGTGCACAATTCCTAGGGATTGTATACAGTACCTGCTGGCCCACCGGCAATGTGCAAAATAAACAAATTCAGCCTGTATTTATCCTAACCAAACCGTACCTAGCCAACCCAGTTGCATATAAAAAGACGGATGGATTTAATAATTCAGATTTAAGAATTATAGACAGTGGGTTAGGTAAAGTTAGTATTGTAACCTAACACATACCGCGAGCCACGTGAGTAAAGCGAGCGTGCCGCGGCAGCGTCCGGCGAAGTGCCAGTCACCTGATAAAAATAGGTAAACAAAACAAGGAAAAGTCGATGGACTATCTTTTTTTACACACATTGCCGCATTGCGCATTGATTTTTTTTGTGTGTATGCTATTGGTCGCAGATGACCTTTACAGCGTCACCGGGTTTGGGGACGGGAGATCCTAAGGGGACCTCAAGCTAAGAATTGGCGAGTGCCTCTAGCTAGAGATATTCCAGGCGAATGGCATCACCCCATGGGGGGAGTCTCCTCTCCGTCTGGAGCCTCTAAACCACTTGAACCTGAGGGAGTCAGCTCAACTAGAGGGCGTCTCTGAGACTCGGACCTTCGTTCTAGTTAGCCGTTGTGTGGGGTGCGGCGAAAAACGCTCAGGTACGCACCTGTACCTGGTATAGCGTGTCGTGTGTAGAGCGGGTGTTCGCACTCTTATCCTACTTCACGGTGTCTGCCTAATGCTAAGCTTGTGTGCCTTTTTACTATCTGTATGGTGTTGGTATTTGTGGACTGTGTTGGAGGAGTCGGCGCGTTGGCGTGGGTGATTTTTGTCGTCGGGGTACTCAAAGACGTGTCTAGGCCGATGGAATCGGAGGGACGGCATTGTACAGAATACCTAGGTAAATTATAAAATTAATAATATTTCATACATTGTTTTTCTTTTTCATTCTATACATTGCCTAGGTATTGTATAGAATGCCGAATTATACAGATTGCCGGTAACATATACAAATTATTTTAAAACTTAGTACCTACAGTGACACAGGGCACCCCCAAAGTAATTTTACTTTTTTTGAAGTATTGACCTATTTATTTCAGGGAATTTAAAGGAAATATAAAGCTGACGACTGGGCAAGCCGATTCATAGCTATCAATTTCAATCTGCTGAGTTTACAAAATATTTGATTACAAATAAGTATGAATATTGACTGTGTAGAGTAATGATTCTAATAATTCATTCAGTCAGAATTAAAGTCCAAAATTGCATTTCGAATGATCCGATTCTACTGGGTCTCTCTCAACTTTGGTGATTTTATCGTATTTTCTATGTGAATACAATTGTCCTACAAGTATTATATTTTATAAAATCTTGATTTACCAGTGATCTTAACTGTATTTGAGGTTAACATCTTAAACTTTTTATTTCCGAATGCTTAGAAACAAATGCTTTACCAATATTTATTTATTTAACGTTCGCGGCAAATCAAAGCTAAAATATACAGACATATTACCTTTGAACGAGTAAATACGTTCGTGGCCTTATATACAGATTCAGTACCTTGGGTACCTGTTCCTATGTATGAGTATTTTTCGTTTCCTTTCCATAATTCTCTTTGGGATTTACTTATTAAGTGTTTAGAATAAACTAAATTACTGTGAAATATCAAATAAGTCAATATTACTTATGTTTTGAATTAAAGCGGAATTGACTTAAGTAAATAAAAAAAACATATATAATATTGTATTCAATACATTACACATAGTTTCAAAAGTACAAGTTCTGCTAGTTATATAATATCTAAGAACGATTGAAATATTTATTATTGCCAGTATGTATGTCAGTCAATATAATGTTGAATTAACAATCTACGTCTTAACGGAACTTGATTCAAATTTGCATGTTAACCTAATTAAAAGGAACCTTTTCAAGTTGGGTGATCACAAGACTTACTGATATTTGACGCGTTAATAAATATGTTATATGCGCTTCAGGAAATAACGTTTCGTTCAAGCCGCTACTTTCTGTACCTACTTTGTGTAAGAGCTCTGACATTTGAGAAACAATAAATCCTACCAAAACCATGTTCATGTCAAGTGTTGCCAAGACGAGACCATATAAATAAATATTTGCAACACTTACACTTACCGGGACCTCTCGAGTAGGCGACACCTTGAAATCCGGCGATATGAAATAAGACTCGAACTGTCAAAAAAATATCAGTACCCTTAGCACGAACCAATATCGAATTCAAATAGTTTGCGAGTCCGAAATGTCATTGTCAAAGGACATTGGGCAAAAATGTATGGACGCTGCACCCACGTCCGCCACGGCTCAAACTACATTTGTTTGAAAGGTATTATAGTCATGATCATCTGTGCCAAAGCGCATCAAATTCTATCCCGGTAGTCTTAAGTTATTTTAAGTTAAATAGGTACAAGTACTATAACGAACGAACATTAATGAAACAAGGGAATTAATTTCTTTAGTTAATTCGACACTACGTAGGGGCTCAGATATTATGGGAGTACTTCACAAGGTTCAAGGGTGCCCTTATGTTATTCTGCAGTACTAGAGTAAAACCAAAAATCCCCGCATGGGTTGGGATTTTTTCAAATATTCTGTTCGTTATAGTAAATTGTCTTCTTTGTAAAACGGAGCGTCCACAAATCACCCAACCTTGTCCACGTTTCGGAGAAAACATGATTCCAGTTCATCCATACTAATTGACAAAACCGATAACCGTGTTCTAATGTCCAAAGCGTGTTAGATAAAAACCAATAAAGTGACAGGGAGCGCACAATTACAACGAAGTAAGCCGAGACGACTAATTGCAAATGCAAGTCCTTCAACCCCCGTAAACCGTTTTGAGGTGGCTCAGTAAGTGCAAGCGCAGGATAGATTAGCAGACTTTGTCATATATCTGGTTGTATAGTACGATATGGCATATTATTATGGTGACTAATAATATAAATATATAAAATGAAGGTACTATAAATGAATTTTTTTACCTACTTAAATATGCCCATGTGTCATATCTTTTGACTACCAGGATATTTTTTACGGTGTCATATCTTTTGACTCCCAGGATATTTTTTTTCGGTGTCATAATAAAAAAGGCTAGTTTTTCATAGATCTATCGATTCATACTAATTACATTGTTGGCGGAGGTGGGTGCGTTTTGCCCATTGTCCTTTGTATGAAAATTTGAACAGCAGCGCCATAACGTACGTAACGAGAACTTAAAATCAGTACACATTTGACAATGACATTAAGTACTCGCAAACGATACGAATTCGATATTGATTCGTGCGGGGGTCTACTCTCTTTCTCCGAAACGAACTTTCGATAACGAAGTTCAAACGAAATTTAATTCGTGTTTCGTTGAATTAGATTAGGCCTCCAGATATCATGTAAAGCCAAGCTTTTAACTCTACTCGCCCTAACTCTACAAGGTCTAACTTTAAAAAATATAAACCCTAGTCAAAATAATATGTGGCTTAGCCTTAGAAAAATGTATCCACTGTATATTGCTTTTTTGTTAAAAAAAACTTTCTCAAGGTTCTCAAACTCATTTATTCATTCTAGGCTGTTAAAAGCTCGTGTGAAAGTCAAACACTACGCCATCGGTTCGTAAATCTACGGCGGCAGTACAAGTACTGAGAAGAACCAGCAAGAAACTCAGCAAGGGCTATTTTTTTCTCCCCGCTTTGTTTCATAGTGTCGTCAATTGAATCAAAAATTGTAAACATGTGTTGATGTCAACTTTCATCACATTAATATAATTAATTAACGATAACTAAGTATAGTTAGGTACTATTTTTAAATTTACAAATGCTGATTAAACAATTTTCAACCGAATTTTTTGTTGTGAAATAGTTACTGTAGTTAAAGCTTGCGCTTCGGTTAGCTAGTCTTGCCGTCTTGGCAGGGGCACTACTGTGCCCTCAGATGTGTCTACGCCTTTGCTAGATTATACCTTTACCTACATGAAATGCAACAAGTAACCAATAGCTGATTGAAAGTGCCCAGAGACGAGATTTTTATCGATCGCATCCAAATATCGTATTCTAAGCCTGCAAACTTTTATTGAAACCACACAATTTCTCTTCTACGCTATCGCGGCAAAATAAATTAGGATATTAGTAATCTAGATAAGACGACGCCGACAGTCCCTCGATTTCAGCGACATTTTCTTTATCGTTTACATTAAGAATATTCATAGATACGCCTTTACTATATGCACTGCAGAATTTAGCGTATTTTATGTTTTCGTTCAGATTAGAGGGTAAAGAAGCTCAACAATGCAAGTGGTTTGCGCGCTCAGTCTGCGATCGTGGAAGTTAAGCAACTTTCGTAGTGGCCGGTCATTAGATGGGTGACCAGAAATGTATTATTACCACAGACAAATGAACTTGCACAGTAGACGTTTTTTTAAGTAATATTGCTGCTGCGGCCCAGCTTGTCTATGGTCGTTATTCATAAAGTTTGCCGGGGTATATACGAGTAACTTCTTAAGCCGTTGTTATTTCCGGCTGCAACTGCAGTCGTTAGCGCCCACTAATCAGCATTGGGCCCGCGTAGGCCATGGCCCGTGTTAATAAGCTGATTATGATCAAGATAATGTTCTCTTGATCGCGCAGGTGGTTAGCGCGATCTGCTGCGATCGTTGAACTTAAACAACTTTCGCAGTGATCGGTGACCAAAATTCTTCTATCTCGAGTTCCTCCGCGCTTCGGAGGGCATGTTAAGCCGTTGGTCCCAGCTGCATGCAGTCGTTAGCACCCGTCAATCCCGCACTCGGCCCGCGAGGTGGGTCATGACCCCATCTCCCTATTCCATCCATAGGGAAGGCCTGATGATGATGATGATGATGAATGTTCTCGTTCCGCTGTCAATCGAAAATAAGACTTAGTGCAATGAAAAAAAGCTATTAACTTACCGTGACAAGCTCTGTGCATCCAATAGTAGCAGAAATCTACTCCTATAGCGGCTGCGTACCACGTGAAAGAGTTGTCCCACGGCAGCTCCACTAATCTGTAGTTCGCGTATATCCATGTGTAGAGATACGATTCTGCCCCTCGCCATATGAGCCTGGGTAACAATATATATGTTTTGATATATCCAGGTAGGCAAATGACTCCACCCCACCTGATGTTAAGTGGTGTTAAAGTCCAGATGCGAAGCTGGTACAGCAGTTATAAACTGCCACGCCAACCATCTTCACCTTGCCGGTCTGCAGAAATGCTTCTTCATGCCTCTCTTAAAGGACTCTTTAATGAGCATTCGATATATAATTGTTGGTTTATTGGACAATGCCATGGGGTGAGGAGCTCGATGGCGCGGGTGGTTAGCGCGTTCGGCTGCGGTCGTTGAAGTTAAGCAACCTTCGCAGTGATCGGTCATTGGATGGGTGACCAAAAATCTATATCTCAAGTTCCTCCGTCCTTCGGAAGGCACGTTAAGCCGTTGGTCCCGGCTGCATAGTCGTTAGCACGCACCCGCCAATCCGTACTGGGCCAGCCAACTCCCTATTCCATCTATGGGGAAGGCCTGGGCCCCAGCACATTGGGGACATTAATAGACTGATGATGATGGTGATTGGACAATCCTCCATATCTGTTCTATTTACAAAGTAAAAAAGTCACTTTCGCCTATTACTAAGAATCTTTTAACTGCTCGTCGCTGAATTTCAAACTTAAAATCAAATAATTTAGTGTAACCGTGATGACTGTGTACAGTAGAAGGTGGTAAACTTAAAGTTGACCATAATTTGACCAATCGTATTCGGGCTACCGACCAAGTGTAATTGCGCCATGAGGTAGTCTTACTATTTGCTGAAGACATCTTCTACCACACAGTCTAAATGAAAAATTGAGAGAAGTGTTTCATCTAAGCATAATAATATTTCTTTTAAATATTAATTTACCTTCCACATTCCTGCAGTAGCCCGTGGGATATGCTCGTGATCCCATCATTCAATCTTATTCCCTTCCTGCCTTTCAGTCGTAATACGATGTGCTCCAGGATCATAAATATGAAAAAGTACGGCCATGACTGAAACAACAAAAGATACATCAAATAAATTGCAGTAAATTGTTTTAAATTAAATGGTCACTAACATTATGAATTTAAGCGTGAGTAGCCGAAATATCGCAACTCACAAGAAACAAGGTACATATGGTAGCAATTCCTCTAATAACTACAAAATTAGATGAGCTTGATGGCGCAGGTTATTAGCAGCATCACCGGGTTTGGGGACGGCGAGATCCTAAGGGGGCCTCAAGCCGAGCATTGGCGAGTGCTTCTAGAGGTATTCCAGGCGGATGGCATCTCCCATGGGGAGTCTCCTCTTCGTCTGGAGCCTCTCGAACTCGTCTCTGAGACTCGGACCTCGGCTCTAGTTAGCTGTGGTCGTAGGGAAGCGCGTTCTATCTGCGATCGTAGAAGTTACGCAACTTTCGCTGTGGTCGGTAAGTGGATGGGTGACCGCAACTAACGGTTTACCATGCCTTTCGTAAGACGAAGGAGCTCGAGATAAGTTTTTGGTCACTCATCCTATGATCGGCATTTGAGAAAGTTGCTTAACTTCCACGATTGCAGATCGAAAGCGCTAACCACTTGAGAATATGAGACCCACCTAGTATTGAGCCTAATTTTTAATATAATATTCATAATTCCTGTACTTAAAACTTGAACTTCGTTTCTAAATTATGTAATGGAAGGTGACTTCAGAATTAACGCTGAAGTTATTTTTCAACTTGACGACTCTGTATATAATGCAGGGAGAAAAAAACAGCCCTTGCTGAATTTCTTGCCGGTTCTTCTCAGTACAAGGTCTCCCGCCGCAGTTTTGCGAACCGATGGCGTAGCTTCTCGACTTTCACAAGTGCTTGTAACAGCTTGGATTGAATAAATGATTTTCCATTTTGATTTGCTGCGCCACTTGAATAAGTATACTACCTAATGCTAGTTTTTGTGCGGGCAGTAAGTGAAGTACATACTCTCGCTGTATTAATTATTCCAGATATTCCATAGGTTTTCGAGCATTTGGGCAGTGGGTTGTACAATAGGGGTGATGACGGGGTACAGTAAACGAAATTCTATTTAGTCCGTCAGTTAGATGATCAAAAAATAATGGACACGTATTTTTTCTTTGGGCAATCAACCAAAAAATGACAAACTTATAGCGCGTCAAAGTTTGGGAGTAGGGGCTCGTGACGTCACTTTTTAGTAAATATTCGCTTATAAGTGTACTCAAACGTGATGTCATGCGACTTTTCAAATCAATATATCTCTGCAATGTTTATATTATGTGAAAAAAGAAAAAATACGTGTCCAATCTCTTATTTATTAAACAAGTCCATCGGTCTGTGGTGCTGTTTCAGCGGTCAAACCGTAAGAGATAGATAAAGAGAATATTTAAGTTATAAGTTAAGAATAGTCTGATAAGACTACAAACCGGATTTGAGTAACGTAGCACTTCCGGTTTTCGAGAAATCAGGTTTTGGTGAACATTTGGTTCATCATCATCATCATCATCAGCCTATTAATGTCCCCACTGCTGGGGCACAGGCCTTCCCTATGGATGGAATAGGGAGATTGGGCCATGACCCACCACGCGGGCCCAGTGCGGATTGGTGGGTGCTCACGACTGCAAATGCAGCCGGGACCAACGGCTTAACGTGCCTTCCGAAGCACGGAGGAGCTCGAGATAGTAAATTTTTGGTCACCCATCCAATGACCGACCACTGCGAAAGTTGCTTAACTTCAACGATCGCAGCCGAACGCGCTAGCCACCTGCGCCATCGAGCTCCTCACATTTGGTTCACTGGTTTGCTATCTCTTATTTATTAGACAAGTCCGTCCATCTGTGGTGCTGTTTCAGCGGTCAAAACGTAAGAGAGATAAAGAGAATATTTAAGTTGTAAGTTAAGAATAGTCTGATAAGACTACAAACCGGATTTGAGTAACGTAGCACTTCCGGTTTTCGAGAAATCAGGTTTTGGTGAACATTTGGTTCACTGGTTTGCTAGTACTTTTTGATAATCTACCTGATAAACGAAGAAAAAAAAATTAGTCATCATTCCTATTGTGTAAACACAACCAACTGACATACTAGTTACTATAGTTAAAAGCCGCAGTAATTTGAGCTGAAACGTTATGTATGTGCTAGGATGACACAATCGGATGATTCTGTAATTCTACACCAGGGCGACGAAGCTTCATATAGCCTTGCCTTGGTACTAATGGCACTAAAATTTGCGTTCAAAATTTTATATAGTTCTGTCGTAATCAATAAGCGCGCTGCGTCTCCATAAACGCTAGACGAAAGCTTGACTGGCGATAATTTGAAACGCTAAAAGAGGTTGAGGAAAACGATAAATTGGTATGTGCAGCTAAAAGAGTGTACTTAATTTAAAGTTCAAGCGCTAATTTAAGCGCATTTTAGTATCAAAGCCATCCGAAGCTTGGTCACGCAAGTGTCGATTAAGCATCACACACACACATCATCACACTGTAAAGTTACATAATGTAACTTATGTATATGACATATTTGTTTCTAAGGTTTTCACGCACACATTTTTTCTAGCTTTGTTTTATGTCATGAGTGAGTTAAATAAAACAAAGCCAGAAAAAATAATCTGACGACGCAGCCTGAAAATGATGCGAAACGTTAAGCAACAAATTAATTAACGCACTTAAACCGTTGAAGCTTTGTTTTATTTAATTATGTATGATTTTGTATATTTTTAATCTAGTGGATTCACCTCCTGGATACGGAAAGCGTAGGGTCGTTGTGTGTGGAAATCCAATATAGGAAGCCTTTGTTTAGAATTGGATATCCATCGACTGATGATGATAAAATATTTTAAATGTAGAAACTTTAACAAAAAAAAACCGCCGAAAAGTCAAAAGTAATAAACGTTTTTTTATCTTTAGACATTAATAATTGGAATCGGTGCCATTCCAACCCAAGTAGTAAATGGGAACTCAGATCTATCAGACATGCAGGGAACCGATTCCAAATATTAATTAGTTTAAAGATAAAAAAAACGTTTAGTATTTTTTTCTTTTTGACGGTTTTTTTTATTTTATTTTATAATTTTTTGTGACTATAATTTTTGTTATATACAATTCGCCATCAAAATCTGTGAGTGAACATTCACCCCTATATTCCCTTCCTTAGGGAAGGATTTTTGTTTCTAAATTCATATGGGACCAACTGTCCCTTTCCGATAGAAAAAGCGTTATCAAAATCTGATTACTCTGTAAAAAGTTGTGTAGTTATAAATTACAATCAGTAAGTGAATCAATCAATCATACTTATATCAATGATGATATATATAATCATTATTTATATCAATGACCTTCCTCACTTTACAAGAGATTTGTGTGAGACAGTACTATTTGCTGATGACACCTCTTTATTGTTTAAAGCTAGAAGAGGAAATGATTGTTATGACGAAGTAAATTGTGCTCTCTCTGAAGTCCTTCACTGGTTTACGGTAAATAATTTAAAACTTAACTCCAGTAAAACAAAATGCGTTAAGTTTACTCTACCTAATGTGAGGCAGGTTAATACTAGTATAAAAATAAATGACCAGCCTGTAGAGTTAGTGGATTTTACAAAGTTTCTGGGTATTACTTTAGACTATCGTCTGCAATGGGATCCTCATATTGATGCCTTGTCAAGTAGATTGAGCTCTGCAGCTTTCGCTGTTAAAAAGATAAGACTCTTAACTGATGTGGAAACGGCAAGATTAGTTTACTTTGGTTACTTTCACAGTGTTATGTCATATGGCCTTTTGTTGTGGGGCTCAGCCGCTAATATCGAAAGTATTTTCATACTGCAAAAGAGAGCTGTTCGCGCCATATACAATTTAAAGGCAAGAGAATCCCTTAGAGAAAAATTTAAAGAAATTAATATTTTAACACTGGCGTCGCAATACATTTATGAAAATTTAATATATGTAAGAAAAAACTATGATGAATTTGCAAAAAAAAGTCAAACCCATAACTTTAACACGAGATTTAAGAACAAGCTTGCCGTTCCATGTTTCAGACTCCAAAAATCAAGAGGTTCATTTCTGGGTTGTAGTATTGCATTGTTTAACAAAGTTCCCCAAGATCTGATTGAGCTTCCACTGACTAAATTTAAATCTCAGATCAAAAATACTCTTATGAATAAGGGCTATTATAAAGTTGATGATTATCTAAATGATCGTAATGCATGGACATAGTGTTTCTTATAATTTGATATTAAATGGGTATTACTCATTTTTCATAACAGTAATATTGTACCTATCTAATGCCGCTTCCTATATACTACTTAAAATGTTAACTATAAAATTAATTGTAACTATTTATATTCTAGATGATGTAATGGAAAGTGACTTCAGACGTATTTCTGAAGTAATTTTTCAAATTGACGACACTGTATATAACAATACAGGGAGAAAAAAACAGCCCTTGCTGAGTTTCTTGCCGGTTCTTCTCAGTACAAGGTCTCCCGCCGTAGTTTTGCGAACCGATGGCGTAGCTTCTTGACCTTCACAAGTGCTTGTAACAGCCTAGACTGAATAAATGACATTTCATTTCATTTCATTTCATTTCATACCCTGTTTAATACCCTCAGGGTTGGATTTTTTCTTCCAAATTCATATGAAACCACTTTCGGGGTATTCCCCTTCCTTCACTTGAAGAAGTCACGCGTGGTCATACATAAAAAAAATATACGCGTCGAATTGAGAACGTCCGCTGTTTTTTTCGTCGTTTAAAAACAAACGCATGGCTTGCATTATTATTGGTTAGGTAAGTGGTTACTATAGCTTATAGACGTTTGCGATACCGTGATCCCTCTTGGGTTACTTTTACCCTATCTAAAACCCTGGGATACCCGAAACGTTTCTGAAGAGCGCTCCAAAGGGCCGGCAAATTCACTATCCGTAAATGTGTTTTACAGCTTTTTGCATATTATATAACACAATATTATTTTGCGTCATTGTTAAATTAACATCAGAATCATGACTTATCGAAGCCCGACAAAGTAATTGTATTGTATAGAATCAGTCTATTGGCTCCAACTGTAATGTGATGCCACAGGTTGCGTGCGTATAGAATATTTTCGACCACACTGCGGTTTTAGCTTCATGACTTCAGTAGATGACATGTTCTATATAATGATGGTGTGTTTTATAAATAAATCAATATTGGAGGACGGCGATTTAGTTGAGTCATTTTAGGTTTTATCTGCGGAAAAATTCCTAGTGAGCTGAAATTTTGTATACACCTTTATTACGGCTTTTCAATGATGATGTGAAAAATCGACATTGATATCGTGCCGGCTAAATAGTTATAAGGGTCAAAAGGTCATGAAATTCAGTTCATTGAAAAGTCTTAATAAAGGGGTATACAAAAATCAGCTCACTAGGTATTTTCCGCAGATTGGGGTTAAAATGCCTAAAATGACTAGACTAAAATAAATTAAATAAAAATCAGCAAAGACCCGCACAATATGGAACACATTTTTTTAAGATGGCGTGAAGTACAGTAAAAGTATGTGGTAATATGAGCATAGACTTAAATCAATCTTTAAAATTAATTAACGTGTTGGAGTACTGAGAATAATAAGAGCGCTGGTTAACGACCGGTTTTTCGCCGGGTCTAGGAACGATTTCTACCCGGGCCGGTTGAACAGATAAAAATACTGCGACTGCGAATTCAGCCGCGACTGACGGCTTAACGTGCTTTCCGAAGCACGGATGAGCTTGAGATAATTAGTTCACTCATCCAATGACCGACCATTGAGAAAGTTGCTTAGCTTTAATGATTGCAGGCCGAACGCACTATCCACCTGCGCCACCGAGCTCCTCAAGTTGTATGGATTTATAATTACGTAGTTTCCGTGGACCGATAAATGACCTCAGCGAAAGTTGCTCGACCTCTCAAACATTAACAAACAAATGCTTGTCCTAAGTACTGCCCCATCGAGTTTCTCGTGACTCGTTTAAAGTGTGTAATCAAGCTCTCAACTGATTTTAATCCTGCTTTAATATTATTTTTTTTATATAGATAGGTCCGACAAATGACTCCACCCCACCTGATGTTAAGTGAAGGTGAAGTCCAGACGCGAAGATAGCTGAAACAGCAGTTCTACCTGCCACACCAGCCATTCTCACCCTGCCGGCCTGCATGTTGCTTCTTCACGCCTCTTTTAAAGGATCCCAGGTTGTAAGAGGGAGCGGGCAGAGCATTCCATTTACGGATAGTGCGACAAAGGAATGAGTCACCAAATTTCTTTGTACGCGTTGGAATTGTAGCCACAGTAAGACGGTGACAACGTAGGCCAGCGCGTGTGGTCCTCTGAAGGAAAGGGGAAGGTGGGATAAGAGAGAATAACTCCTCATAACACTCGCCGTGGTACAGACGATAGAACGCGCTTATTGGAGAAGCGAAAGTTTGTATATGTGGTTGTTTATTGTAGTTGTTTGTAAATGAATGCATGACGATTTGGATGAAATTTGACAGAAAGTTCAGTTACCTGAAATAGGACAAAACCCAGAAAGAGGTTAGAGAGGTGATGATATACTACTTGCACGGGAACTGACGTCGCCGGCTCGCCCCCACTACACTTCCACCTGATAGATAACAACCAATGAAACGACGCGATATCAAATAATCGAACCTATCAGCGATCACACCCGAGAGCAACGACGCAATCAGAACTAAGTTTTGGGCAAGTTATGAGCATTTGCTCACACATAACCGTGGCGTGCCTGCTACGCCCACAAGGCTCTTCTAACCTCTGTCTCTGTTCTGTTGTACGAAATCATATGACTGCAGCAGATCAGATGCGTTGGAAAATAAGACGATTTTTGGAAAACAAATGAAAGATGCAAGTTTGTGCAACAAAGTTTTAGATTTCTCTTGGGTTATCGAAAGAACTTATCCAACAGAACTACAGAACTTATCCAACAGTTTACTGTATTAATTATCTGATTGTGTTAGTAATTTATACGCCTCATCATTTCGAAACAGCGTAATTTACTATATTTTTATTTTATTCTTTTATTTATTTATTTTATTTTTATCATTTCACTGCTTGGTAAATTAAATATTTTTTTTACAATAAAAAATCCACTCGGCCTAGCCGAAGATGCTAGTTCCAATCCCCTCTGAAAGTTGGAGCGAGGGGATTTTTTGTAGAAAAAAATATCTAAAGCGTTGTTTGTTGTATTGTGAATAGATGAAAAACGAGTTGCATGACTCTCATTCAACGTTCAACGAAAATGTTATCTCATTTTCGGCGACCCACACATAACTAAAACCAATTTAATGCGTTTGATTGGTCTCCATCTAAAGTTTCCATAACTATTTTTTTTATTCTTAACTCCATGCAAATGAACTTGGTGGCCAATTCTAGTGACAAATAAACTAATTATAAATATGTACTTGTAGTGTTTTTCAAATGATTTCAATTTAATTAGTGTAATGTAGTTGAAGGTAATTTTTATTTTTAACGTGTCACAACCGTTTACGAGGCGAAGGTTACACGTGTTGATATAGCAATCCATCCATCGATACATGCCAACTTTAAATTGCCACTTATTCCGTCGACTTTAGATTCATATTTAATTAGCTATGAAACAAAACTGATGTCAACAGTACCAGATGTACAACTCGCTTATTATCTTTAGAATCTTGTCATTACAAAATCCAGGTCATGATTGTAAATCAATTTCTATTTAGGTAATTGTAATTTCAAAACAGTATTGTGATTTCCTATCGTTAATATACGTATATTAAGACCATTATTCTGCTAGATTAAAAATAAACTAAAGTATTCTTTTACTGCAAGAAATATTTATATATACTATACAAGACACAGACATTTAACTCATCCTATCTGAAGTTATTTTTCATATAACTAAAGGCGCTTTCAATTTATGCGTTTCTTGACTGCCTGCTGCGGTGCCGAAGCGGTGCGTTTGTCGTACAGCGTACGGACGATCCTTTTTTTTCACACAAAACGCGCGGTGCGGCAACAGTCCTGTTGTCGAGCGTTCGCGGTACAGGCCGTCAAGAAACGTATAAATTGAAAGCGCCCTAAGTAATGGTGGCTAATGACTTAACCCAATCTGAGACTCAAGCACGAACTTTGACAAATCCGTAATCGTATCGTAATCGTCAAATATTGTATGGAAAAAGCCAGTTTGTTCTTACGGCCGGTAGAGGCGCTGTTTTGTTTTCATAGAAACTTTGGCGATGCAATACGATTACACAGCTGTCAAAGTTTGTACTTGGGTGGATTAAGTTGTCTCTGTAAACGCGAAATGTTAATGGAGTCCATTCACAAAAAATAGCCGAGAAGTCAGTAAAGTGTGCCATGAATTTTGCTATTCAATATTTATCGACTATACCATACCGGAAGCTGAAGAATATATAAAATGCATCAGCTATGAGAACAGGTTACGTTTTAAATAAAAATATAGAATAACTATTCTTGAAATATTTTTATATAAAATCGCATCTGTAATGACATTACTCTGAGAATTTCTCAGATAAATCATGCTCTTAAGGCTAATGTGCCTACATTTTTTCTTTACACACTCAAGTTTCAACGCGTGGCATAACGAATATATTTAAAAGTTTTTGGTCGGTAACTCAGACCCAAAAAGTTTAGGATATGTCCTACAAAAAAAGTTTTATTAAATGATTTTTCATTACCTGCTTAAAAAAGTTCGGTACGTCCTCCTTCTTCTCGTACAAGGTTTCCTGAGGGTAGTGTATGTAGAAAAGTCTGCCTATGCCCTTTAAATGTTCGCTGACCACCTCTGAGTAGCCATTTCCTGCAGTCGAGTTGGCAAATGATACTCCTAACGCCATCTTTGATGGTGCAACTGAAAACAAAAAAAAGTGCGTTAAATAACAAAGTGAGTTTTAATCTATGTTGTAATTGCTCCTGACGCTTACGATGCGTGAGAATATGTATGTATTATGTTTTATATAATGACTCCATTTTCATCTCTTAATACAATATAATTGTTGCAGAAGAATTAAATGTTAATGTAAAGAAAATATTGATAGAAAAAAATCCACTCGGTTTAAGTTTCGGACAGGATTTGATCTTGCACCTCCAAATAGTTTGGTTGGAATTAATTTTAATTAAAAATTTCTTTAGATTTAAAAATACAGCAGTATAATGCTGAAAAATATAATAACCAATCAATAGTTAACAGCAGTGATTGAAAAAAAAATGTTTGAAGTGAAAACTTCTTTAGCGGCGTTGTACATTTTTTTTGTATGGGTAAAAAATTATAAACTCGCGTCAGGACACGTGGGCTGATCGCGTCATGACACATGGCTTGACGGAAAATTCGTAAGACGAAAACAATAAAATTGCAAAGGTTGTTGACTTTCAATATATTGGACGAAACATTGTAATATTATATTTTATCGTATTATAATAATAAGTCTCTATCTAGGACGTCCAGGTGGCAGCTTTATTGCGAAGAAAATGCATTTTTTAAGTGAAAACTTCTTTACCGGCGTTGTACACTTTTTTTGTATGACTAAATAATGTTAAACTCGCGTCAGGACACGTGGCCTGATCAGATCCGGACACGTGTTTAGGGCACGTGTCAAAAATTCGTAAGACGAAAATAATAAAATTGGAAAGGTTGTTGACTTTCAATATATTTGGGCGAAACATACTGATATTTTATTTTATCGTATTATAATAATAAGTCTCTATCTAGGATGTTCAGGTGGCAGTTTTATTGCGAATTGCACTTAAATGAGAAATTCTGAGAGATAAACTTTTTAATGTAATATAAATTGTCATGTTTGTGTACGATAGCGCAATAAATAAATATTGTATTCTTCCACATAAATTATAGTACTTTTATACTGATCATTAAATAAATTCGTGCAAAGTTATTCCCTAACCATTCCAAAATATCAAAAATGCACAACGTTAATATTCAAGTTTTCACTCCTGTCGGCACTCCCGGAGTGCAACCCATCGTTTTTTATTTTATATTATATTTAAATTTAAATACGATGTGATTTAAATGTGAAAGTTTTTAAGTTTAATATTCAATCACGCATAATCGATCAAACGATGGATAAAATGTCTGTGTAGTCATCAGTATTATGTGATGACGAATCAGTAAAAATAGGTGAATAAATAAATTACAAAGTCATCGTTACACCACATATTTCTGTGCTTGCATTTTAAACAGGCTTTTATGTCAAACCCATAGCATAGCATACTGTTTTTTGCAGTGTTTTTAAAGTATTGATATATTTATGTTTTTTCCTATCAAAATTGTTAATACGTTCTCATTGGCTTTATGTCTGTCATGTGCTCATAATATTGTTTTGTAAATTGATTTTAAAATAGTGTAAATAAGCCCAGTGCCTCCAAAATCTTAACCTTAATTTTCATCCCACTAGCTCTCCGTTTCAGTATTTTGTATGGAAACTTGAACATCAGCGCCCCAAAGTACGTAACGAGAACTAAAAATCAAAGCAGATTTGACAGTGACATTTCGTACTCGCAAACGTTACTAATTCGATATTGATTCGTGCTAAGGGTACATTTACACATCAGTCACTATTATAATAAACTAGAGGCCCGCCCTCGCTTCGCTTCGGTGTAGAGCTGTAGTTTTTAGACTATAGTTTTTGTTCTCAAGCTTGTATTATACACAATGACATTCTTCTAATACCTAATTACCTCGCCGCATTTTAAATCTGTAATATCTTCGAATATAATCGTTTAAATTACATGCGTCAAAAAGCCAAATTGGTGTATATTAAATGCTCAATGTATTTAAGGTACTTAATTGGTTAAGGATGAATGTTATATTGCTAAAAATCGCTTCGTAAATAATCTATTATTTCTCGTAAAAAGTACAGGATAAAAAATGGTTATTGTGGGTTATCCCTAAGAGATAGACATATACCATCGCGGACTTTTTTATAGACCTTTTTAAGGTGTACAATACTGTAGTACATTATTTTGATTTACCTCGTAGGGTTCAGCCAGCGTTTGCAATGTAACCGCAAAAATGTGTTTATTTACGACCTTACATTAAAAACCTCTAAAATTATCAGTGTATTATGTATATATGTATGTATTATACATACAAACCTTGCTCTTGAATCACTCTATCTATTAAAAATATCGCATCAAAATCAGTTGCGTAGTTTTAAAGATCTAAGCATACATAGGGTCATAGAGACATAGGGACAGACAGCTGGAAGCGACTTTGCTTTATACTATGTAGTGATTATCACAATAATTATTCATTTCAAATTATTATTATTAAATCTACTAGTCGCCGTCCGCGACTTCGTTCGCATTATAGATAGTTATATGAGAATGACACTGGATTTTTTTCCTGGAATAATTCTAATCTTTTCAGCCGTTTTTGGCGTGGTTGATTAACAAATATATAAACTTTCACGCATATAATATTCTGACGACCAACGTTGCCTATTGGTGTTTACGCCGGGTTTCATAGTGTCACCTACTCGAGAGGTCCCGGGTTCGAATCCCGGTGGGCGCAGATGTTTGTGTGATGAATACGAGCATTTGTACTTCAATCATGGGTATTATATGTATTTCTATACAAATATATTTATTTATGTATCAGTATATGTATTCCATCCGATACCCTAGTATCCTCTATCACAAGCCTCAGTGCTTACTTGGGGGCTAGGCTAATTGGTGTGAGTGCTAGAAAATATTTATTTATTAATAAGTAGGTTATCTCAAAACATTTAATGCCTATTATTTTTAACGAAGCATCACTTAAGAACGTCACGCTTGACCTATTTGGCAGATTAATTGCTTTTGCTCTTCGTCTTTAATGAGGACAAAATTTATATGAACAACTTTTTTTGTATATTGACCCGAATTCACCGTTTAATTTTGGAATATTGTTTTCAATACATTTGCTCAAAAAATGCAAAATTACATAATTTAATATATAAAATTCTCGTGTGTGCGGTGTTTGTGGTTAAACTCCTCCGAAACGGCTTTCCCGATTCTCATGAAATTTTGTGTGCATATTGGGTAGGTCTGAGAATCGGACAACATCTATTTTTCATCCCCCTAAATGTTAAGGGTAATCCATCCCTAAATTTTTTTTTCAATTTTAGATAAAAAAAAAATATGATACATCATACAAAAATACATACAACCCTAAAGGAGAATGGGCAAATCCGCCTAGATTGCGCTTGACGCATTTATGTATCAAAAATCTTCTTCTAAATTATCATTTCATATGTGTGTTTATTATGTAAATATTATGCGGATATTTAAAATAATAAATAAATGGCTATTAAACTGAGTCAATAACCAATAACCATAGATAAAAGTTGTATCACCTGGTCGATACTATCGTAGGAAAAAAATCGATTATATTTCTTTATTTAAATATTCTTAACATAAAAAAACGAGTGTGCTTATGACTACACAACTGAAGTGAAACTTCTTTCATTTACTAGCTGTAACAGAAAAAGAGAAAGAAAATGCGTGCGCGCGCTCTTGCTCCTACACTGTGATACAGACAATAGGCTTGCACTGTGCTTAGATATACGGAACGTATTTGGCTATGAGAGGAAGAGAGAAAGAAAATGTGCACGCGCACTGCTTTCTCATGCTTACATCCCCCACTCAACTCCCGTTCGCCTCGCCCGATCACACTTTTCTTAACGCTTACGTTCGCTAGCTTACTCCCCAAGTCAAGAGTGCGTAAAGAAGTTCCTCTTCAAAAAGAAAAAATAAAACGTTTATTGTAATTGAAAGCATAGAACAATTGTAAATAGCCTGAAACATTTTTACCAAACACCGTAAATGACTACGAAATAATGATCATTCGTTAATTCGTAGTCATTTTTTATTTTGAGGTCTTCGATGCGAGTTGTTTGATTTTTGTATGGATCGATGGATAGATTATTTTCCCCAAATCGCCTATTCAGAGGGCCTGGTTTCGAATTCCAGTGATGTAAATGTTTGTATGATGGATACGAGCATTTTTACCAATATTATATCATGATAAATAACATTAAATTCATAAAGTTATCATTTGTAAGACCTGTGTTGTGACTATCTCACTGTACCTACCAGGGATTGCTCTCTTTCATTGCATCTAAAAACTAAAAGGAACTTAATGGGCTGCGCAAAAGAGGATTTTTTGTCTGCGGACTATTTTGTTCATCAAACAGTAGATCGCATACAAAAACTTTTATATGTGTAGTACATATTCACATCTTAGATTAAAAAAGGGAATATATTTTTGTTTAAATTATCAGTTATGTTATATATAATTACTTAATCATATATAAATTAACTCATGGTTTGAGCATTTTAAGCATTTGCATTGAAAAATAAAACATTTATTAATCGATTGTGTAGGAATCGATCCTATAGAATCAAATCGAAATATATACCATAGGCAAGTGAAGTAGGTAGCTGTCAACTTGTTGTCAAGTGTCAACGTGTTTGTTGTTTGTTCCGAGTGACTAACTACAGTTTTCAATTTTGAATTGAATTTGTGTTTTCAGTGGTCTATTGTGGCAGAATAGTTTTAATGTTGAGTTGAGTAATCCTCCGTTAATAACTTTTTTTTGGGAAAGAGAGCATTGGACTCGTAAATTCTGACAGAGATATTTGGACTCTTAGTTTATTGTAATTATTTTTGTTTACAATGGCATCTGGTGTTACACAAGAAAACGCAGGCAGTATGCAACGACGTTGTATTAACTGTTGTATATCAGTGCCACGACGACAGCCAGTACATTCTTTGGACACGCTATCCAATTCAATGCTTAATGTTTTAAGCTCATGGATCGCACCTGATTCTGTAAGTAATTATTTACTTATATT